TACGAATTTATCCACTAGATGAGAGAGAGATCATTCTTTAAAGATAACTGAAAGAGAATAACGAACTTAATCTTGCTCGGAGATGATGAACCGAAGGAAATGACATATCACCTAAACTAAAATAAGGAATGAAGAAGGCGAGTAGGGCAAACTTGTTCGAAGATAAAAAGTGAATGGAAACCACAACTTTTTAGGAGTCATGATTTTTAAATTTTTATCTTTGGAATGAGTCGAGTAGTTAGGTCACAGGGCTCTCAAAAAAATAAAATATAAAAAGTTTGTACAATCTACAACCAGGATTGGTATTGACGGTCTATTTTGGAATGCTGTAATGTCCCGTCTTTTGGTTTCGAGCAACCTGTGTCTCTACTGCTGGGTTCGTGGGTTACTATTATGATCTAGGCATTGATGTCTTTCAGATGTAGACCTTATTTTCCTGAGTCCATTTTTCTCCATCGCATAATTCCTTTCTGTTTCTTTCTTTTCAGTGGTATAATTTCTATTCTTGTAATTTTGACTTCTTGTAACACTTGGTGACTAATATAGGGACTTTTTGTCCCCATTCCCCCCCCCCCCAAAAAAAAAAAAAAAAAAAACATATCAAATCAAAGTGCGGAGGTAGAGTTAGGGATCCCAACTCGGCGGCAAATTATTGGGTCAGGTGACCGAACCCATCTCCTCGTTCGGACGCCAATACAAAGACGATATATGGCAGCTATTTATTTAATTTAATATCTTTGCTTTATGTCTTGTCAGCCCGATCGACCCGATCCAGTAACCCACTTTATTTGAATTCCGGAAATAAAGAATGGAAACGTCGCATTTTATCTTTTCAAGCGACATTTTCACTACTACTCCGGCTTTGGTAAGCGCTCTCGGACTCCTCCAATACCTTCAGTTCTGCGAAAGCCTCTTCCCTTCGGCGGTAGACGATGACATTGGAGAAGATCATCGTTTGGAAAGAGGTATGGTTGAGCCTTACTTGCGCTTTACTTGCGTTCAAGTTATATGTTAAATTTTAGGGTTTAGTAATAATTTTATACATAGCATTGTTTGTTCAATCTAATGTTCAAATGTTTATTTCTGAATTTCAACCTTCTTCGTAAATAGATTAAACAAATGATACGAAAGGTTTACGCTTTATGTTGAATTTTAGGGTTTAGTAATAATCGTATACATAGCATTTTTGTTCAATGTGATGTTCAAATGTTTTTTTTTTCTGAATTTCAACATTCTTAGTAATTGGAAGAGACAAATGAAGCAAAATTTTTACGAAATGTATACTTGCGCTTTTTTTTTTTTACAGATGAAGATGCCGTATCAAAGGCCAGTAACTTCTAGATGCTATGTTACCATTTTTCAAAAATATTGTGATGCTTTTGTCGAGATTATTAATGATGAAGTTGAGCAGACATTAAAGAATCTGAACATTCATCAATTTTTGAAGTTCCCCGCATTACAACAGTGTATACCACTTCTTTTTTAGGTTCTTAAATTTTGGAGTCCTGCTAATGAAGGCTTCATCATCCTTGGTCATTTACTGAAATTCACTTCTAACGAGGTTGCCTTGTTGATAGATAATATTTTGAATAAGAAATTATTTATACGGATATATTTTTTTAACTTTAAATGTAACATGTTTAAAAATTTTCTAACAGGTATGCCTAATAGAGGCATTGATATCAAATGGAGGATTGATCCTCTAATTGGACATCTAACAATTGAAATTAAAATAGAAATGTCAAAATTAGATAGATTAACTAATAATGCTACAAAATTAAAGACATTTATAATATTTTTGTTATCTAACATTTTCTTTCCACTAAACAACCATAAAACTCCTAGAAGGCTCACATCTGTTGAAAGTAATTTAAGTGAGTTCACTTCTATTAACTGGGCTTCATGCATAAGGAACTTCATGGTCAGGGATTTCAACACAATTTTTGAGAAGTTTCAAATGCAACGACCATTGGGTTACATCAATGATTTTGTTCCTCTTTTATTGGTACGTTTCCAGTCCTACTGGTTATTCTCCATCTATAAAGCTTTTTAATGTTAACTTTTAATATTTTATATTTGGCATTATACAGATTTGATTTTTGGAAATTTTTTTTTTTAATAAACCATCCGATCCAGAACTAAGACCGCGTTTTCTGAGATGAGAATGATATACTGAATTATACTTTACTCAAGATAATGCTGCAAAATTATTTAAATTTTTTTAAAAAATGAGGTAACTGTTACGTGTAAATTATGCAAAATTATTTATGGTTGCGCTATGGTTGCGCTATGGTTTAAAGGATCTTTCAAATTAGCACTTTCACCTTGGGAACTAGCAGGATCCTTCTGATTTCTTTTCTTGCCACCAAGAATTAAGTATAATTTTTGAGACATGTCTTGCATTGAGGAAAGAATAAACTCCTCTGCCTCCTCATTCTCTTGAGCTTCTGTGCTCATTTGATATGCAAACCTGCTCACTTGATTTCTGAATATGAATCCCCTACCACTTTGGAAATCATTACTTCTTTGAAAATTAAGCAAGTAACCTGAATAAAAAACTTGTCGAGCCCTTGCTGACTAATGAAGTAATAAGTACTTCTCAGGGAACTTAGCCATATCCAACTGTTTAAAACCCTCAAATAGTGAGAACACAACAATCCCATGGTTTCATACTTCTTACAGCTGCATTAAATGTTACCTTCTATTGCATCAAAGTGAACAACCCAATGAAGGTGTTGATTCTTTTTCTCTATGTAGTTGACTATAAACTTTGAAGAATCAGTCGAGACTAAATCTATACTCATTTCTCCCACAGCCTTTATAAATCCTTCCTCAAAAATTGAATATATTTTCCTTGAGTAAAATCTAGCATCTTGTTTTAATATTGAGCTGTTCTTTATCACGGGAACAATTTCAGACTGACTGCATTTGTAATCCTCATCCTACTCATTTCGCCGCCAATTCATCAATACCTTTTCCAACCCAAGAAAACAATCAGTTAATAAACTTGTTGGATTAGAAATGCCATGACACACATTATTAGTACACTCGCTATGCTGCGTTGATAAAATGCCCATGCAAAAATAATCCTTGTTGAAAGCAGTTGACCACTTTCTCCTTATCTTATAAAGATCCTGCAACCATTGATGATTATGAAGATTCCCTTCCTTCATCATCTCATCACATGCTTCCTCAAACACTTTCTCAGAATCACACCACCTCATACACTTATAGAAGAGTCCTTTAACTTTATTATTGCTATTGTAGATAGAAACTTTTGATGGAACATTTTTAAAGATGTGTCATTGGCATAATCTATGACGAGTGTGAGGTAATGCAACTTCTATGGCCTTGGCCATAGCTTGGTCCTGAATAGTGAATATTGTTGTTGGATATTTATTACCCATTATTTGTATAAATATTTAAAACAACCATGTAAAACTTTCAATTGTTTCTTATGACAAAAAAGCAACCCCAAACAAAATATTCTGCCAATGATTGTTAACACCAACAAATGGCGCATAAACAAAATTATACTTGTTCAGCCTGTAACTAATATAAAAAATCAACACATCTCCAAAATATTCATAATCTATCCTACTTCTACCATCAACCCAGAAAAAATTTAACAATCTATCCTGATCATCATATTGAACATCCCATGCGAACATGTGGTCCTCAACTTGTCGATCTTTAAATAATTGAATCAAAGAATTAGTATCACCAATTTTAATCCTTGTTCTTTTCTCTTTCTGAATAAAATTGTAGGCATCTCTCTTAGAGAATCTGACATTCTAAAATCCTCCAACTTCCTCTGCAAGGTAGGCATATGCATCAACGGTTCTACTTCCTGCATCTGTCATCGATTTTAGGACGGAAGCTTTTTTCTCAACAACATTCCTACATGATCTCAAAAGGTGTCGGTCGGCTGGGCTAGCTAATTCATGGTTGTGGGATTCAATAAATCTTTTGACATGCCATTAACCATCTTCATCTATGACAAACCTCACCATGGATGAACAACCAGTTTTGACATCTGGTCTAGTGAATCTCTTTCTTGAATTAAGATCAATACTTTTCTTGAAACCAGCATTTGAACAAACAAAGACCTTCGATTTTATCTTCCTAGAATTTAGCCAAAAATTGTGATGATCCTTTCGGACGCTAAAGCCATTATCATGGGCATAAGTGCAAAAACATTCATATGCTTCTTTCTCATATTTATAAACAGCCTGAAATGATAACATAGTAATTACGAAAAGCGCAAGTAAAGCGCAAGTAAAGCGCAGGTAAAGCGTAAGTAAAGCGCAGGTAAAGCGCAAGTACAACGCAAGTACATCGCAAGTAAAGCGCTATTTTTTTATCTTCTTCATCCTAAAAACAATAATGAAAGTTAAACAACAACATTAGAGCATTTTTTACTTTTCCGACAAAAAAAAAATTTATTCTGCCTAAAATCGCAACATTTAAAATCCTATGACTCTAATGAGTCGAAACCTACGCCTTTTTTCTGCGGCGATGAGATTAAAACTGACTGTTTACAACTTTCTAACTCGTTTTTCTAAGAAACTTACCGATATGTTGAAACCAGAGGAATTTCCAGCTAAGTTAGCTTCCGATTCCAATTCATGCATCCTTTCCGATTCATGCACTCCCTCTTCCATGCCCTCTTCCACCTCCCTCTTCGCTAAGCACTCAATTTCTTCTCTGCAATTTTCTAGCTCATTTTTTCTTCTAAAGCAATAGATATTTAAGTCTTTCGCGGGTTTCAAATTGCAAAAAAAGGGCGACAAATGCTTAAAATTCAATAAAGTGGGTTACTGGGTCGGGTCGATCGGGCTGACAATACATAAAACAAAGATATTAAATTAAATAAATAGTTGCCAGATGTTGCTTTTCTATTGGCGTCCGAACGAGAAGATGAGTTCAATCACCTGACCCAATAATTTACCCTAACTCGGCACATAATAATTTCTCAAAATTTAGGCCAGCATGCGTTAACCTTTTTTTTTAATCTTGTTCTCTCTCAGTACCGCTCTCGACTCTGAGTTGTCATCTGCTTACCTCTTCTTCATCTTCTTCCTCTCCTTGAGCTGGATGCCCGGATTCTGGCCTCCACAACCGGATCTCATTAGCCTCGACGACCTGCGCCTACAACCTTGAGGTCCTCCTGCATCCGCCGTCGACGTGTTCACGTTGCAGCCGCTAACGTCGTTACCTCGCCAACGCCTACTTTTAAGGTAATTCTTCTTCACATATTATTCTTCCACACCTCCGCGGCCGAATTCACCTGCTTCCAAAATCCAACTTGGCAACTACATATCGAGCTCCAGTAAGACCGTGAGCTCGAAATTCGCCGACGAGCTCAAATGGGCTCGAGCTATGTTTGAAATGGTGGAGTTGATTACATCCTCTACCCTCCACATTCGTAATAGTTCGTTCCTGCCTCCTCTATTCCAGAATATCGCATCTGCTTTGCATATCCTTACGGCACGGAAAAATATGATGGATGTAGATGTTCGAGCTGATGGTCGAACACTGAACCAACTAAGGCCTCTCACTTGTTCTCGAAATCTACTCAATAGAGCTCATGGTTCAGCTCGATGGTCTCAAGGCAAGCCTAAAACCTTTTTGTTATCTTCTTTATTCGTTTACTTCTTCCCCATCCTAATTAGTTTGCAATATAATTAATAACATCAAAATAACCTTTTTTTTGGCTTAGGGTTTGCAATGCTTTATGGTGCCAAAATGTTGGCCATTAAAAGAAAAGCATAATACTAAGTTAAGTGTTGCAGAGATGAGGATGCTTACGTGGATGTGTGGTTTTACCCTTAGAGATAGGATACGAAATGAGCTTATACGTGAAAAGGTTAGAGTAGCTCTAGTGGAAGATAAGATTAGAGAGAGTCACCTTAGATGGTTTGGTCACATTAAACGGAGGCCTTCCAATGACCCTGTTAGGAAAGTTGAGATTTTAGATTTGAATTGTGTTAAGAAAGGTAGAGGTAGACCTAAAAAACTTGGTTATAAAATATTAAAAATGATCTTTCTTTATTAGATTTAAATGAGAATTTGACTTTTAACAGGACACAATGGCGAAAAAGGATTCATGTAGCCGACCCCACGTAGTGGGACAAAAGCTTGATGTTTTTGTTGTTGCTTAGGGGTTGCAATTATATGTTGCTCATGTTTTTATAATTGTTCTATTTGATTATGCAAAACTTTTTCATCCAGTTAAGATATCCCAACATCAAGTCTTATAGCAATAGTATCCTTTTTATGTCATGGCTGTTATGTGTGGAATTTGGTTGTGTTGATCAATCTGGTTATTATGTTGTCTCGAACCTTTACCCCCTGCTTGAGTTTGTGTGCTTCCCAACATTTTTTTTATGTATAACGCCTTGGCGTTGCGTATCCGAGTGCTCCTTGTGCTGCTTATTTGAGCGCCCCGGCGCTGAAAGACATCAAGCAGAGTGCCGCAATGGTATAGATGCGGCGTTGCAACGGTGCAAGACAGAGACTTGAGCGCCGCAACATGCTAAATTAGCACTGCAGTGCCCCAAATTGGCGTCGCAGTGCCTTAAATTGGCGCCGCAGTGGCCCAAACTAGCACCACAACGTTGTGAGATAATTTGATAGTTTCTTTCTCATTTTTCTAAAGGGTTACATCCCTTGGGGGTTATTTTACTTGGCTTTCTCTTGTATATTGAGTGAGTAGACATTGAGAATGGTGCATGTGAGAAGATAAACAAGGAGTGAGTGAGAGAGAATAGAGATCTGTACTTATTTCTCCCAATTTTCTTAGTGGATTTCTTGGTGTGGTGTGGCTCCGTGGTTTTTCTTTATTTTGGGTTTTCCACGTTAAGTTCATAGACGCATTAACAAATTGAAGACACATGGAATTTATTAATTTGGGAAAAAAAAAAATTTGAAGTAATTTTGTCACTGGTGGCATTCTTTCTAAAGTATATGTTGCTATAGAAAGGATCATCCATAATTTTGGTGAAGGTTTGTGATACAGAGCCAATGACCCCTCTTCCTTCAACTTTTTGTTTAATGGTTTTACACCATCATTCTCTATTCAACGCCCCCCTTCTCCAGTTCCCTCCTTCTGCAACTTCCTATTCAAACATCAGTTAAGTCTGATGAAGCCTTTTGTGTTCATCTCCTGTTGCAGTGTTTTGCTTGATGTTCCTCTAGATTTGTTATTAAGTGGCTCCCATAGCTTGTTTCTGTGACCGACCTGTGCAGTTTCAGTCACCACCTTTGGCACTATTTCTATCACCCCTAATAACGACTTTAAATTATTAGTTTGGCACTGTCTTCCTTGTTATTGGGCTTTTGTGATTTTCCTTTGTTATTATGTTCCACCGGCTGATACTTCATATCTCTTATTTCTTTCTCCTACTATGATCGTTAGTTGTTGAATACATACAATAGCCTTTCTTTATTTGGTGAGTTGTTTACCTTTTGTTGTTTTCTTGTTCTAAAATTTGCTATCTGTTGATACTATGATTTCTTTTATTCTGATACAACTTGGTTTTTGGCAAATGCATGAATTTTAAATTCTCTGCATGGCTTTCTTGTTCCTGAATTTCTTCTTGTTATTTCTAGTAGACCATTAAATGATGAAGTTATACACATAATGTTTCATGTAGCCTTGGAAGATTCCCATAGAAATCCTTAAGAAATTAATTGATACAAAAGGTGATATAAAGTCATACAAAGAATATCAAGTTTAAACTTTAAAAAAATTATAGTATTAATCTAGTTTAATGTATTCAATTTGATTTTATACCATAAAGCATCAAATAATTCCTTCGATTGCATTCTCTTATTATCTTCTTGCTTTAGTTTTACCTAGTGCAATGAAGAGACAAATATGCATGTAATAATTCATAACAATAATTGTACAAGAAATCAAATAGCTAGACTAATTTATTGGAAGAATATCAACTAAACATCTTTATCATGTCAAGAAAAAATTGACGTAGAGTTAATGACACCTCATTTCTTTTTTGTATTGAAGTTTTCCTTCACCCATTTTTTATTATGTTTGATAATCTCCTCTTGGGACTTCCTCCTTTTATAGTTCTTAATTTAGACTTAGATTGTGTCTTTATTTGATTTTCCCCATTTATTTTTGTTCGATTTTACTTCGACTTCAATGATTTAGTGGATTTGTGACCCACTTTTTGATATCAATCCCTGTAGTTTGTATTATGGGCTCTGGCGATCTTTTTATTACCATTATTAACAGCTTTCGGCCCTTGTTATTTGAATCAGGTGGTCTAGCTTCCTTGTTATCATGCTTTGATTGTTTTCTTTCCAATGCTATCAAGCTCTAATTACTAGTGCTGATTCTTCTATAATTTTTTTTGTTTTTTCTTTTGCTGTGATCGATGCATAGGAATTTCAAGGGGCTTTGTAACTATAAATATGGGGTTTAGGCATCTCCAAAATACATGAGTAATTTCAAGGGGATTTGTAATTATAAATATGGGAGTTAGGCATCTTGAAAATACATGAGTTGATCCTTGAATAAAAATTTAGCTGGATGCTCTATTCCTTCTACTGTTAGGATTCAATTTCTTGGTTAAATGAGAGATTTGAAGAGTTACAGGAGATGTTATCTTCTTGTTTAAGAGAAAGATTTGTTTATTTAGGTTGCTTCTTGTTCTAATGCTATTGGTTTGATGTTTTGATTTATTTTAAGTCGAATTGATACAATTTAATTTCTGACAAGTACATGGATTTCAAAGCATTGTGGGGAATACTTGATCAAGAATCTATAATATTATCTCTTGTAGATTTTTGTTTGAATTTATTTCCTTTGTGCTTTTGATTTCATTTTACGTGATGTATAGTTGAAGATTAAGCGTTTGTGACTTGAAATTTTGTATGATTTCCTGCATTTCATATTTAGTATTCATTGAAAACTTTAGTCCTTTAGAAGTCTTACTTCACTTAAATATTAAATATTAAGTTTGTCGTATTAATGCACTGAAAGTGTCTCCTTTTAGTTTTCGTGCTCTTGATTTCATTTTTTGGAGACGTCCATTTTTATGTTATAATTATTGTTTTTTATTTTGATTGGATGATATATTATTTTTATACCATTTATCTGTTGTCATATTTAATGAATTTTTAACAATTTCCTCTTCTCTCTCTCTCTCTCTTTATATATATATATATATATATATAAAATCTTTGACTCTTCTTCTTGTCTTTTTATTATTATTTTTTATTTTTGTGGAGTATTTACCCATGACCTCCCTATTTGAACTCCTGGTTTGCTTATGCATCTCTTTTGATCACCCATATCCTTTGTCAGGATAAAAAATTGTTTCTTCACACAACTTCCTCTTTTTAGTTAATTCCAAGCGTTTGTTAGATTAGGCTGGTTGTTCCAATTGCCACCAATTATTTGATCTTGATTTCTTTGTTCTTGCGGGGTGTTTTTTTTTTTTATATTGAATTTCTGCATTTGAATTTATGAATGTTTTCCATCTCCTCTAAATCTTCATCCCTTTTATTCCATTTTTCAACAGGAGACACGACTGTATTGGCCGCTGTATTTGGACCAAAAGCTGGAACAAAAAAGGGCGAGAACCCAGAAAAAGCTTCTATTGAAGTAATTTGGAAGCCAAAAACTGGACAGATAGGTAATATCCATATCGTTTATATGATCAAGTTGTGATTATCACATAGCTGGTTTTCTGCAAGTATTTTATCATTAATATGTTGTTTCCTTCCTCAAGTATTTGTATCTCCAGCTGTTCAAGTTTTAAAATATTAATAGGCCCTATGATGCCCAATTTATGCAATTCCCTCCAATCTTCTTTGATATTTAAAATTAATAGCGGCCTACTAAGTAAAATGAGCATTCTTCTAAATGGTCTCAGTAGTTTTCATGCTAGATTGTAAGTGTGAAGTGTTTGTTACTCTTCAGAAGAAATAGTTTTTTTGCCAACTAAAATAAAAACTTATGCTAGTTTTTCTTCTGATACCTTCACAAAATTTTGTTAATTTAGTTTTGCTTCATCGTCACTTTATTAAACCTCATTTTAGATTCATTTCTATTCAATAATATAGGAGTTCTTACTATAAAGCGGTAAAAATGGGAATGCTCTTATACGTGTTAAACAAGGAAGGACAAAAAGAATCTATCAGGAAAATACATTAATTTACATAATGTGATGGTATGATGGCATGCCATTATGTGAGAAAAACGTGCTCAGAAGATGTGAGAAACCGGCCTAAAATATAGCTGAGTGATATGCTCAAAACAAATTAGAAAAAAGTCATACTATAATTTAATTCTACCACAAATGAAAGAAGAGAATGAGCCACATCGCTTGCCTGATGGTTTTCTATGGGGAGGATGCATTTTGGTGAGCAAGTTCATGATTTTATTGTCTTCTAACCTCCAGAATTGCTGATTAAAATTTTGCATTTACCATTGACAATCTTTACTTTATATTGATGATCGTTGTTATTTATGCTCAAGTTTGAATATGAAGGGAACTGCGTGGTGGCAATGCAAACTGTGAGTTTGTGATGTTGAGAAGTTATTGATATTGAAAGCCTCATAGCAAGCTCCCCTCTACTTTCAGTCGAGCATATCTCTTGAATAATGACATTAAGTCGGATCTGTAGAGCTGGCCAACTTGGCAATCTATTGGTAAGAGTTCATTCTCTAAAGTGTTCAAATGGTTGATGCTTATAATTGTGTGCCATTTAATTTAGGGGCTATTTGATTTGTTAAAAAAAAATGTAGAGTAGAATGAATGTGGTGTATTGATCTGTTTGAAGTTGTTTAGATGAATATAAAAGAATGTGTGATATTACTTTTCTTTGTTTGGCTTCATGTGAAATGAATGCAAGGGGGGGAGGGGGGGTTGTTGTAGCAGTGGTGGTTGGTGGCGGGGATGGTGGCATGTTAGCTTGATTGTGATAAAAATAATTTATACTCAAATCTGAGCCACTTTATTTTACCTCTAAAAACAAACTAGAATACTTTGTATTACTATTGACTTAAAAAAAAAATAATAAAAAGAAAATTCGAATAATTTTGTTTGCTACGGCCCTGTCTTAGGCACGTTTTCTTTCAAATGATGCAACCGCTCCTCACGTAACTCTTACTCGGCACAAAACTCCCTCAAGCTCGCTCTCTCCTATTCATACAAACTCTCACTCATGCAGAAAAAACCTCTTTGCTCTCTAGTCTCGCTCTCATCTCTCTGTGCCACACGCAAGAAGCCGAAGTCCCCAAATCTGCTTCTCCTGTCTCAGTCATGTACGTAGATGCCCAAAGGATCCCCTTTCACGTGTGGTCAGACCGCGCCTTCGTCTATTGCTCCCAATCCAAAGTCCCGCCTTCGATCCGGCTGCATTCTCTTTTTAATTTTGACCTCAATAGATGCGAACGCCTGCGTCTTTGTCTACGGTGCTCGATCTAGCATCCTGCCTCCAATCCGACTGCAATCTCCCATCTGCGTTCAACCTAATGCGTACGGAGACTGTTACTGAATACTTTGTATTAGTTTGATTGTGATAAAAATAGTTTTTACTCAAAACCAAGCCACTTTATTTTACCTCAAAAAATGAACTAAAATACTTTGTATTACTGTTGAATAAAAAAATAAAATAAAAAATTCAAACAATTTCGTTTGCCACGGCCTTGCCTCACGCATGTTTGCTCTCAAACAACGCAACCGCTCCCTACATAACTCCTACTCGTTACAAAACTCCCCCATACTCGCTCTCTCCTATTCATACGAATTCTTACGCTTAACAAAAGAAACCCCTTTGCTCTCTAGTCTCGCTCTCGTCTCTCTATGCCGCACGCAGGAAGTCGAAGCCCCCAAATTCGCTCCTCCTGTCCTCTCAGTCATGCACGTAGAAGCACAAAGGATCCCCTTTCACGTGCAACCCGCACCTTCGTTTACCACTCCCGATCCGAAGTCCAGCCTTGAATCCGATCACATTCTCCGTTTACGTTCAACCTTAATACACGTGAAAGCCCGCGCCCTCGTCTACCCTGGTTGATCTCGCATGTTGCCTCTGATCCAGCTGCAATCTCCGGTCTGTGTCCGACCCAATGCGTACGAGCCTTCTACGTGAAGTAACATGCGTTGATCTGATCCCGTGCCCATCTCTGTGCTTTCCGATTGAATTTCCCAATTCAAGTTGTTCTGTTCGGTTCATAACCACTGCTTGAGTATACGAATCTAACGGGAGTGTTTCTATTGAAAAAAAAAGAAAAAAAAAATAACAATAGGCGTTACAATCGCAGATTGAAGACTAGAAGTTCGATTCTCGGACCAATCAGTGTCTCGAAGCGCTCAACTGTAAAAACCGATCAGATTTGAAAGGGTAAGTGCCCTCCCTACTTCCATTCGTAGGGAGGGTAGGCCGGGAGATTGTTGAATTCTTGAGGAAATTAAAAAATTATAGAATTTTCTCAAAAAAAAAAGAAAAAAAAAACAGGTGCCTTATTTGAAGATTGAAAACCTATATCGGGACTAACCATTGTCCCGAAACTCTCAATTGTCGAATCTTATCTGGCCGAGTGGATTTGAAAAGGAAATTGCCCTCCTAATCTCCCTTTGCGGGGAGGGGATGTCGCAGATTGTTGGATTTTTCTTTAAAAAAAGAGAAAATTTTGTTGGACCAATTAGAGAACCTTTGAAGAGAAAATTGAGATAATTTTATTAATTAAAATAATTGAAGTTGATTTGAAAATCCAATTTCTATTAATTGTGCAATCATAAAATTATTTTTATTTCTTTTAATTAATTAATTGATAGATTTATTTAAAAACTCTTCTAATTAATTAATTAATTAAATGAGCGTGAATTAAAAATTATTTTAATTAATTAATTAAAATAAAACGCAATAAAAAAAAGAAGAGGAAAAAACATAAATATATGTTTTCATCAAGGTTTAAAATTGTGTAAATAAGCCTCGAGGCATTTTTCATCCGTGAGGCAAGGCGTAAGTCTCAAGGCGGTGTGAGGCATAAGCCTCATGGACGAAGAATTGCATAAATGAGAATTTAAGTATTCTAGCAGATAAATAATAGTAAAAGTCTATGATACAATTAAAACATCTAAAAGAGAAGTGAACTTAGTGAAAACAAAAAAATAGATGCAATATATGCATCTCATAGCATAATTCAAAATACAAAACTACAAATTAAAGTCTATCAGAACTCCCAAAGTACAAATAAGAAAAAAAACATCTAAAATTTATTCATGTCCCATCATTACATGAGTCTTCAGTGGAAGCATCTTCATCTCCAATTGTATCTATGAATGTCAAATCTTCATTATCTTCAATGTTACCCACTTATCTGACGATTCATATAATGAGCAGTCTTTTAAGAGCTTGCAACCTTCTTCTTCACCTTGGTCTAACCCTCAAATTATACTTGCAGTAATCTTATGGGCATGAGAATGAACATGTCATTACCTGTCTCCCCCTGTTCGAGCCCTCGACACCATCATATACAGTATGTTTCATGAGGCGTACGCCTCACCAAAAATTGTGCAATTGCGCCTCTAAGGCGCGCCTCAGGTTCCATGAGGCGTAAGACTCATTAAGTCCCAAAATTGCTTAAGCAATGAGGCTCTTGGGGGGAAAATTGCACAGAGGCGCGCCTCTTATTGCGCAATGTTAAACTATGGTTTTCATTAGAATCATCTCCTTATGGCCTGAATAAAGCAAGAAGTGTGCAAGGGCATTCCTAAGTTCTGGATGAGAAAAGTGGAGGGTTGCGTTAGGTAGTAGACAACCAACATAAAATTTGTCGAATAATCATGACATGAATCATTTAATATATTGTATTAATATTAGGGTGTTTCTTGGAAGCGACACGTTATATGACCTGAATACAGTGAGAAGTGTGCAATGGCCGTCGCATCGACGCCTGGGTGCAGTGTTAAATAAGAAAGTGTTCCCACATCATGGACGGATGTGAGCAAAGAAGCTAGTCCATGAAACTAGAATTCAGATTAGATCTTGGAATGTAGGTTCTCTTACAAGCAAATTAATAAAATTAATTGATATTATAATTCATAGGAAGATAAATATTTTATGCATTCAGGAAACTAAATTGATTGGAGAGAAGGCTAAGGATATTGATAGTTTAGGATTTAAACTTTGATATTCTGGTAGAAATCATATTAGAAATGATGTAGGTGTGATTATAGATAAGAGTTTTAAAGATAATATTATTAAAATTGATAAAATTGAAGACATAATTATTGTTTTGAAGGTTATTGTTGATGTTAAGATTATTAATATTATAAGTGATTATGTTCCTTAAGTAGATTTGAATATGTGTTTAAAATTAAAATTTTAGAATGACTAAAATGGATCAATTCAGAAGATTATTCTTGAAGAATGAGTTTTTATTGAAGGAGATTTAAATTGACATGTTGATAGAGAAGTAGAGGATTTTAAAAGTATTCATGGTGGTTATGAGTTTGGAGTGAGTAATGAATGTGATAAGTCTATATTAGATTTTGCTCTAGCTTATGATTTTATAATTGCTAATTTCTTATTTAAGAAAAGAGGAGTATCTCATCACTTATAAGAATAGATATAGTAAAACTCAGATTGATTATTTTCTTGTAAGAAAAATTGGTCGTTTAAGTTGCAAAGATTCTAAAATTATTCCGACTGAAAGTTTATGTACCCAACATCACTATTAATTTTTTATTTTAAGATGAAGGGGCAAAATATGAAAAATTTAGTAAAACGTTATTCAAAGATTAGATGAGGGCTTTAATAAACACTAACAAAAATATTTTTGAGAGTAAGATTTGAGATCTTAAGATTTTGTCTGTGCATGAGAAAGCGAATTTTATGCGGGATTAAGTAGTTAGTAATATTAAGAATGTTGCAAATGATGTGCCTTGGAGTTTCAAAAGGAAAAGTTTCTAATAATAAAAATAGTTAGCGGTAAAATCAAAATGTGTAAGAAAAAAATAATAAGCTTTTTATAATAATTGGTTTAGATGTAAAAACTCTGAAAATTGGGAAAGATATAAAATGCTCGTAAGGTGTCTAAGGAAGCAATCTGCGATGTAAAGATTTTAGCTTTTAATGATTTATATAATAGATTAGATTCTAAAGGGGGCGAAAGATATATGTATAAGTTAGCCAAACAAAGAGATAGGAGTAGTAAGACTGAATTATGGAAACACTAGTGCACCTGATGATATTCTAATAGAGCTGTGCAAATGCTTAAGAGATGAAAGAATTTCTTGGTTTACTAAACTCTTTAGTATTATTTTGAAGACTAAAAAGATGTCGGATGAGTGTAGAATAAGCGTGCTGATTCATATTTTTAAGAATAAAGGTGATGCATAAGATTTTGCGAATTATAGAGGAATTAAGCTGATGTGTCATACTTTAAAATTTTGGGAGAGAGTTATGGAGCATAGGTTATGATGTTATACTAATGTTTCTCAAAATCAATTTGGATTCATTATGGGTAGGTCTACTATTGAAGCTATTTATTTATTGAGAGAGTTGATGGAGAAGTTTAGAGAGACCAAGGAGAATCTACATATGATATTTATTGATTTAGAGTAAGCATATGAGAGAAGTGCTATGGAGAGTTATAGAAAAGAAAGGGTATAATAATGCTTATATTCAAGTCATTAGGGATATGTATGCATGCGTTGTTACTTTTGTTCAAACATAAGGTGGTTTGACAAAGTATTTTCCTATTTTCGTTGGATTACATCAAGGATCAGCCTTAAACCCTTCTTTTTGCTTTAGTCATGGATGTTCTCACTAGACATTTCCAAGAGGATGTATCTTGGTGTATGCTTTTTGCTGATGATATTCTTCTTGTTGATAAGACTAGAGAGGGAGTTGAAGGTAAACTCGAATTATAGAGGTCAACCTTAGAGTATAAAGGTTTTTTTTTGAGTAGATCTAAAACCGAATACATGGAGTGTAATTTTAGTAGTAATAGATCTAGTGAGGGGTTTGTGACTTTGAGTGATCAAGCCATTAATAAATATACTCGTTTTAGATATCTTGGGTCTATTGTTCATAGTGATGGTGAAATAGATGGGGATATTATTAGTAGAATTCAAGTTGGATGGTTGAAGTGGAGGAATACTACGGGTTTGTTGTTTGATAGAAAAATATCACTCAATCTTAAGGGAAAATTTTATAAGATGGTGGTGAGACCTATAATGTTTTATGGCGCAAAATGTTGGCCATTAAAAGAGAAGCATAATATTAAGTTAAGTGTTGCTGAGATGAGGATGCTCTGGGATGAGTGGACTAACTCTTAGAGACAGGATATGATAAAGGCATATCCAAGAAAAGGTTGGAGTAGTTCTAGTGATAGATAAAATTAGAGAGAGTCGTCTTAAATGATTTGGTCATGTAAAATGTTGTCCTTCTAATAATCATATTAGGAGAGTAGATGTATTAGATTTGACCTATGTTAAGAAAGGTAGAGATAAACCTAAAAAGACTTGGTTAGAAAATATTAGAAATGACATTTCTTTTTTAGATTTAAATGAGAATTTGACTCTTAACAGAACACAATGAAGAAAAATGATTCATGTAGCCGACCCCACGTTGTGGGATAAAGGCTTGATGTTGTTGTTTATTAGAATCATCTCCTGTACAATAGTTCAACTGACCCGAACTCAAACTCCAAAACAATAAACTAGTTCAAATTAAAAACTGTCTACAAACAAAATTCAAACTACTATAAAACAAATAATAACTACAAAACAAATTCTATGCAAAACTCTGAACAAGACTACAAACTCTCAATCAATATCACACTCAAATTGAGTGAGCTACTAAACTACAAACTCTAGGCAAAGCTCCAACCCTTGCAAGCTCCCTCCTCTACGGGCTCAAAATACCTGCAAGTAAATAAACAAAAGGGCAATTTAGTACTGTAACAAAATATAAATGCTAAGTGAAGCAAAAGAAATTGCTGTAATAAAACTACAGTGCTAAAGCAAGGTGAGTCACACTATAACAAAAAAACACAGTTCTAAATACAAAAAAATAACTAGAGCTAAAACATTAGCACTAAAGTAAAAGCACAAGTAAAAGCACCAAGTGTTGGGGCAGTAGAGGAGTGAAAAACTAAATAACTGTTGTCCAATTCATCCTAAAACTAAATCAAAGAACATACAACTTCTAAGGGAAGTTGTAAGACATATCTAAGCAAATGACATGCAACTTTCAAGGGAAGCAATAAGCCCTGCCTTGCTATTTGGGAAACTTCTAAGAGTGAGAAATCTTAAATTAATTAACAGACAACTTCTAATAAAAGCCGTAAGACCCACTTTAACTGATCTATTAGTGAAAACTTTTAAGTGAAGTAACCTATCCATAATCAAACTACAAACAAATTCTTAGAGAAGCGGTAAGACCTATTGTTTGGGAAACTTCTAAATGAAGTATTAATTCCCAAAACTAAACCTGCGGGCAACTCCTAAACGGAGCCGTAAGCCCCATCATAAATCAAATCTCTGGACAACTCCTAAAAAGAGTTGTATACCCCAAACTAAATAAATTAATGGACATTCTAACATATATAACCCCCCAAACCACCATAACAATAAAACTCACATCTAACCACTTTATTTTACCCAGGATTCTTGAGAGAAGGCAACCATAGCTGCTAATTAGATTCCGTAGATACTACGATCAATGGTTGTTAGTGTAGGTAGTCTGAAACCTACGGTATTCCCGGCACGACAGAACCATGGAATCTTGATCGGGTCTACCTCCATTCACCTACAAATGAGACAAACATTTAAAATTCTAAAGCTATTCATCTTTAATTGAGAGTTCTTTCCTATGAAATGGGAGGGATAGGGCTTGCACTTATCGGAAGTAAGGACCCAAAATTAAATAAACCTGATACAATTGTTAGGGGAAATCTGGTTAATTAAAAATCAACCTACCTTATGAAAAATGGAACGTAAGCATGCAAAGATAGGTTCGTGCTTAACACTATTTTTCTTGAGCGAACAATTACATTTAGAATATTTTACACAACATTCCTTTTTCATCCAACCAAACACTAATATTTTCAAAACTGTTGCAAAAAGAATACTTTCCACTCACTCTACTTCCAACCAAATAACCCTAAACTTAATTTATAACGTTTTACCAAGATACCATACTGATTATGTACTTGCATTAGTTTATCTTGAAGTTTAGCATGCATCATGTTAGAAACATAGAATGTTCATTCTTTTTATGGCTTGAGGTATACTCGTAAACATTCCGGCTTTTGCAAATTCTTTCAAGTCATGTTTAAATTACTTTTCTAGGAAGGCGAGAAAAGGAATATGAGATGATCTTACGTCAAACTTTGCAAAGCATATGTTTGCTTACTGTCCACCCCAACACAACTACCTCCATCATCGTTCAGGTTAGGTGATGTTTCTGCATTTACAAGAATTAATTTTCTAGCCTCTGTTCCCTTAGCTGTGTTCTATATAAAGCTGCTTAGTTTCTACTGTTTATTATCTTCTAATTAAGAACATCTATTTTGGTTGTATTATTTATGCCAATATGCATTGACTTTAATGGCTATTGTTCCAATAATTCTTCCTTTACAATGTACAATGATAGAGTGCTGATTGATGAGCATATGATTGCCTCATATACTTTTTGCACTTTTTTTATACAATTAATGCATAGATCCTGTATCTGAACATCTCAAGCAAATATTTATCGACATGATTCAACAAAAATAAAATGTGATGGAAAGAAAAAAGAGAAATATACCGTCTTGTAGTTATATGCATCAACAGCACTCAGGAGGTGCTCTATTGATAAGATGTTGAATTTCTTTGTCTGGTCGAAGAGCATTTAATAGTTGATTAACACTATTTTTAAAGATGAAGCATCTTTTTTTATTTTTTTTATTTTGCAGGTTATTGGGGATGATGGTGCTGTATCCTTTTCTTAAATGAAAGGTTTTTTATAGCTTCGATATTTTGATTCTTTGATGAGGATTACGGTAATTAATCCTTTTCCAATAGTTTGGTGAAAATTATGAAAAACAAAGATCGATTAAAAACTTGTTTTTGATATGACCATCTAATTCTAACCTTTTTTTTAAATTATCTAATAATGGTTAAAGAGCATGCAAAGTTATTGAAATTTTACATTAATTTCTTTCAAACTAGGAAAGGAAGTAAGCATAAAATTATCTTTAGCCATATTAAACTCATAAGCATGAACAATAGAAGAATCATTACCTAAACTATTTTTGAAGTGTTAGACTTCCTTAGATGTAGTATAAGAGCATTAGTATGGATATTTACGTAATTCGTTTCATGATGTTTTTTTGTTGAACATTTACTGTTGTATTCACCCTTGATAACCAATTTATTCTAGTTTCTTGTCTCCAAAATCCAAATATTTATGAGAGACTCTATGAATCCTTTCATTATTGGTAAAGAATGTAATAATAACAAAAAAAAAAAAGTTCAGAAATGAAAATATTGTCAAACTGTTCACGATCAAGAAGAATAACAACAATAAAATTTAATATTCGTAAGATCCAAATCATATTAGAATAGTTAGAAGTGAAACTATCAAAACCAATGTAATGTTTTAAGAAATCATTCATATCCCTACTAACCAAGGTTCGATTACTGCAAGAAATTTAATATGATGAAGAAGCATTATTTTTTAAGTCTTTTCAATGATTGAGATTAAAAGCAGATATTGGCTTGTCTTTTGGATCTTATTTTAATAAACTTTATAGAAAAAATAAGAACCCCTTCTTCATAGTAAAGAACATCACCAATAGATTTCTTTCTGGTAATAGCATGAGGATGAGCAATAGGAATTAAATCTAAACTCTCTCATCAAAAAGTCTTTTTATGTGGTTTCAGGCACGTTTTAGCCTCTTGTTTTCTAGTCTAGCTATTGAATAAAATATACTCCATTCCTTAATTGAGAATATCCTTTTTGACCATGTAATGTTCCTTGACGAATGGTTTTAGCTTCTCTCTTGTGCTATAAATGCATCGTGTGTAGCTCTTGTTGATGCAGGCATTCCTCTAAAACATCTCGCAGGTATGTAACCATTCTTGCAATTTTTCTTTTTTATCACGAGTGTTTTTATACTTAGACCATCAATTATATCTCTAATGCAGTTTCCATTTGTTGTGGTTTGACTGTGGGTGGACATGTAATTTTAGATCCCACTGTACTAGAAGAGCAGGTGATTTCTAATTTCAACCATTTAAATAGGCGCCACTTGACTCCTTTTGCATAAGCCCAAACATTGCTTTGATAAGAAATCATTTGTATTAATCATGCACAGGGATTTCCCGTTTGCCTCTCGTTTGCTTGTGATATCATGCTATGCCATCCTACCTTGGCCTCTTTTACATCAAGTCTGTTGCCATCATGCTATGATCTTTTTTCGTGTTCTCTTGAGTCAAACTATTTTTTTTTTTTTGAATAAGCTATGAGTTTGTTCATCTAGTTTGGGCTTTGTTTTGCTTATTATGTAACAATGTAAAATTTTAATTTTCATTTTTTTAAAATCAAGTAACATTATTTATCTCTCTACTTGGAATTTGTAAGTTTTAATCTGAGTAAAATGCTCTTAGTGATACAAATTTCAATTCCTTTTGTTACTGAATGGTCTGTTCAAATTAACATATTTATTTGCTATTTTAATGTATCAGAAATTGAAGGCTGTTCTTCATCTGGTTTTTCCAAACCCTCCGCTTTCGATCCATCATAAAACTCAATCTCTTTTAAAAGATGAGCCTATTGAGCATGGAATTATAACATCTGTTATGCGGGGTGTGATGTCAGGTGAAACATTCATATCTTGCTAATTATACTCTTGATAATCTAGGGAATGCTATTAATAGAAGTTTCTTAACTACGATGTTTCATCATAATTGATTCAAATCTCTTGGGCTTGTCAATTTTATAAACCATGCTAGTTCATAATTAATGTTGTATTGTGCGGAGGGGTGGTCTTGATACCAGCAGAGTTTTGTGGTTGGTTTGCTTTAGCTTGAAGCCCCATCCGTTGCACCAACAATCAAGAAACAAGAGGTCAACATGTAACTTCAGGACTATAGTTGGTGACTTGTGCGCTACACAAAGTTTTGGTGTTACAGAAATTACATGGAATGGACAATATAGCTGAAAGTAAACACGAGAAAAGAAACATCCTGTTTACAATTGCTTAATTCAGTAATAAATAGTTCTTTTATAGGCAAATACATCAGCAGAAATAACCAAAGAAATATAAACAAACCACTAGGCTCTTGATCACCAATGGATAAAAAATCATGATACAAAGTACTATCCAACGTGCAACTTTCTCTATTTTACTAGCTGATGAGTAGCCTGGACTATTGCCATTAATAAAATACACTTTTGACTGAAAAACAAACAAACTAAATAAATGCCTTAAGACTCGGAAAAATATAACAAACTTATTTATTGAACAATTCCTCACTTATATTGTTAAACATAGCATCAATTTAATGAGTAAATTCCAAAGAACCCTCCCTTAAACGCGATTCTTCAATATGCAAACACCAAGCAATTTTATTTCCTAAGCTTCCAAAATGTAAAGGCTTCGTAAAGGTGTTAGCAAGTTGATTATTTTTACAATAAGTACGATTATGACTCTTTATTAAGGCTCCTGAGGAAGTGAAACTTAACATCTGTGGGCTTGCTTCAATATATAATAAGTTTTTTGGAGAGTTTAATTGTTGAACTATTGTCATAGAAAATTGTAGTTGCTCCCTCTTCCTTGAAAGGCAACTCTTCATGAAACTTCTTTAGCCAAATAGCTTGACCAGCACAGTAAATAACAACAACAAATTCAACCCCAGTTGTTGATAAAGTGACAATTGGTTACTTCTTTGAAGATCACAAAACAACTCTTGAACCAAGCATAAAAATATATGTTGAAGTGCTCTTCCGATTGTCTAGTTCTCCATCAAAATCAGTATCAGTAAAACCAACCAAGTTCGACTTTTTGCTCTGGTAGAATAGCACAAATTTCATAATATCTTGCAAACCTAAAGATCCTCTTGGCAGCTAGAAGATGCATCTTAATATGACTTTTTATATATCTGCTTATAAGACTTAACAACATGTATATATTGGGCCTTGTGGCAGCCAAATTCATCAAACATCCTAAAATTTTCTTGTGGATAGCGTTGTCTACCTTTCCACCTTTTGAATCTTTGGTTAGTTTCAAACCTGATTCTGTTAGAGTGCTCATGGAATTGCAATTCTTCATTTGAAACTCTAGAAGAATTATTGAACAGCTATCAAAAGAAATGACGCAACAACTGGACCTAGCGGACAGCAGCCAATTACAGAAAGTAGCATAGAACTTTCCACGCTCCTTCACCGTTTCTCTTCCAATAATGTATGTCATGGAAGAAGTATTAAGCGGTGTTTCAATTCTAGAAATAAAAGGTAGTGAGGGATATATTACTGGCAACCATCGCTGAACAGTCCAGCAAGTTAATGTGGAAATGACTAACTACCGTTGAAGTAGTGAAATCTTAAATATATACCAACTGACGAGGCTGAGTTAGCCATATGAAGGGTATTGAATGATGTTAAAGCTAGCACGTAAAATTGACAAGACATATCATGGAGCTCTATAGCCATGCACGGAACCAAAACATGAACTGGCACAAGTGAGCTAATTAAAATCCTTCTTTCATGTAAGTACAACGCCTTATCGTAGAAAACAATTGTAAATATAAACTATAATGATTAGTCTGTTTCATGTTTCACCGATGCTGAAGTTGAACAATGAAATAGTTTATAAAATACAATTTTCTTATGTAAATTTTCAGTCTTCAAGCGTACTTTAACAAAAATGTGATATCATTCGATCACTCAAAGCAATTGCATAGTATTGAGATACAGACATAATAAAAGGTTATAAATAATGTCTTGGATTTGTATCACCAATCTCCAGCTCATTACAATTAATGTCACAGCTGGTTTGACTCTGCATTTTGTTGGTTTAATTCCAATATATGGTATCAAAAGAATTTCGTGAGTAACAACCTCCACAAAGGATTTAGCTTATTCTCCATAAAATGTATTATTTTTCTTACTGGAACGAGTGTGGAAACTGGGGAGGGAATTCAGTGAGTGCACTTGTAGGAATTGAGGATAAAGAAGGAAGAGAAGACAATTCTATTGCCGTACTAGAAGTTGTGAAGCCCGAGAGACCGAGACCTCTGCATATGTTTGCTGGGCAAGAGACCTCATCATGGATGATAAAGCCAAATAAACATAAAGACAAAACACTTCAGATGTTTCTTAGAGAGATTATGATGCCAATGCCAATAAACACCAGTGTCGAAATGATGATCTTGATAAGTAATTATATAATTATACAGGTCTCAAGGAATTGGGCTGCACGTTCTTTGCTCCACTTGTATCTGCCACCGCTAACCCCTTCTGTACTGAAGCTTATCTAGCTGTTGGTTTTGGTTTCTGTTTTCTTACAGGTCTGGAGTGATCTTTCTACATGGTATCAGAGCTATCTAGCATACGCTCTATATGAAAAAAAAGAAAAAAAAAGCATACGCTCTATATAAGTTTTTTTTGTTTACTTAATTTTCTTTGGTTTGTTCTCTGCATATGGGTGATATGTCCGCCTCTTCTTAGTTTATGGTTGCGGCTGATTCAACCATTAAAATGGCATATACTATTGTGCCTCCCCAACTCAAATTCCTCATGACCGATGTTAAATCTATGCTTAATGTTCATGTGGGCTTCGAAAATTCGGCCCCGGCCTCCGCTCGCTTTTCTTTCTATTCGGCGAGGGAGTTTTGACTGAATAAGTTCCGAGGTAAATTTTGGAAGGCAGATGGGTTTGTAGATAAGACACTACCCAGAGATTTCGCCCTCATTTTGCGAGGACTTTATGATATGAGTTCTGGTTTCCTATAGGCGCAAGCCTCTATAGTTAATTACCCCTCCCAATAATGACAGAGAACTTTCGATTAAGGCTGCTCGTCAATCGGATACGTAGTATACGTGTTATCTGGCATATAGTAGCAGCATAGGTTTGGAATCTAAGAACTGGATTTGAATTTGTGAATTTGGGAAGTTTGGATATTTAGAAAGATTTAATATTTAAAATAAAAATTTCACCATCTTTCACTTAAAGCGGATGGTGGGGGAATGGATGATGGGCCCGATCAAGATCCCATGGTTCCGTCGTCCCGGGCCATCGTGGTCCCTGGTCTACTTAGTCAGAGGAGGTAGTCGACCCAACCTGACAGAAAAATCCTTGTCGGCAGCCATGGGTTGCTTCGTCCAAGGGGACCTTATAGACCTGGGTTGGATATTTGCCTAAGGGGACAAACTTGAATCCACCTTAGTTAACAGAGGGCTTTGTGCCCTATCGATCATATCCTATTGATTCATATCTCAAGGATTTAATGCCAATAAGGAACGTAACGACGATGGCCATAACCGGTATTTTGTGGTACCATTTGGCGGGAAAACCACTCGGTTCAGAGGGCATAAAGCCTACGAAACCCGATCCTTGAAGGCCTAATATGAATGTATTAAAACAAATATAACGGTAGCCACAACTGTATATTTGTTTGTTGTTTCGAACCCTGTCGACTTTTATTGACCCGTATAGAAGGATCGGTTTCGAACTTGAATTCACTTGTCAACCCGCGCAGCATCCCTAGACGTCACGTGTGTACCAATAACACGCTCGCCGGGGCCCATGCGGGTGTTTGGAGTCATTTTATAATTAAACCCTGTCGACTCCTTTTTACTTGTTAAGAAGGATCGGGTTTAATTTATAACCCGCGCAACATCCCTAGACGTCACGTGTGTGCCAATAACACGCTCGCCGGGGTCCTTGCGGGTTTTATAACTGCTTTTACCCCTTTTAGTGTACCTATGTGTATACAAACTATGGTGCACGTGCGGGGGTATTTTGAAAGTATTCGTAGACGCCTTCTGTCCGCTTGCATAGAAGTTGCGGATCCGTTGGCGTGTCGTAGCAACTTTTGAATTGAGTTGTTCGCTGCTTTGTACAGGTAGACTGTCGTGCACTATTTGTTGATTTATGTAGGTGGATCATAGTGCACTAACTAATCTCCTGCTTTGGGTTGTAGAAGCTCGTAGGAACTTATAGTCTTTAAGCATTCTGCTGTGATTTTGGTCTTTACAATACAACCACTACTGTTGGAGGTAGATGTATTCATCCTTAAACTGAAGTTGACTACAGGATACTGCATTTACTGTAGTCTTTATGCATCTACCTATGGATGGATGTTGTACATACATTTGTATTCGTAGAGGATTTTTATGAATTGCAGATCTTCTTTTCTTTCACGCGGATGTGATATACTCCTTGCATGTTGCTTGTCGTTGATCTTTCATTTGCATGGGCATTGTAGCATTCACTGCATGATCCTTGGGTTCATTTGTATATTAGCAAGCTATTGTGTTCGTCTGTTATCCTTTACAAAAGACTTATGAAGGTTTTGTAAGCCCCCTTGCATATCTATCATCTTTATCTGCAAATAGGCTATTATAAGCTCATTTGTATGCTAGTTTGGGTTGACACCAATAAGGAGGCTACCTCTTCTATATTCCTCTTGCTCTGCTTGTTCTCTTGCCATATTTATTATACATGATGACGATGGACCCATCACTATAATTATCACGTGCCTCTTAATATTCTCCTTGTTGGTGAGATGTAGGGGCCTCCCAACCCCACCAAGAATTTGGCATGTATGAGATTTGAATGAATCACACTCCTTGATTAGCGCTTGCATTCTAATTGG